TTTTGACCAAGTTTGACCCCTCTCAACCCTTGGTTTGACTGTTTGACCATTCCCCATGCTACATGGCAGCTGAGGTGGCATGGAGTGGAGTATTAAAAGCTAGGGTGCTGGATTTGGAGCCAAGGAGTGGAACTTGAGTGCTATGGGATTAATCCTTTGGAAATTTAATGACCTCTTGACCATTTAATGACTAGTTTGACCAGTCAACAGGCCAAACTATGCTGAGGTGTCAAAAGGATAGAGGTTAGGAGCTGATCAAACAAGTTGGGGAGGTTTGAAATTTAAGGAAATATGATTTGAATATATATGTTTGACTATAGTCAAGGGTTTGACTAAGTCAAGATCCATGGTGATTTGACTTCAAAAGGATTTAAAAATATTTGAATTGATATTTGAGATGAATTTGAAGGTTTAAAGGACTTGATTTGTTCAAATGGGTTTGAATAACCCACTTAGACCCTTAAGGAAATCCTAGGTCAAACTAGGTTGACTGGGTTAACCAGGTTGACCTAAGAGGTGGGTCTTGGCTCAACAGGTTTGAAATGATATTTGGAGATTATCAGAGGTGGTCTTTAGGTCTGGGAAGGTCAATTCAATCGAAATGCCTGTTTTGACCCTTAAAGGCCTATCTGGTCAACCTAGGTTGACTTGGTCAACCTAGGTTGACTCAGGGTCTGGGTTTGGGTCGGACAATTTTGGTTCGATATTTGAAACTTGCTGGAAATGGTTCCAAGCAATTTGGAGTTCGTTTGGTTTGAAATCGATGTCTGGATCCCTAAGGGGTATTTTGGTCATTTTGACCCCTGGTCAACTGGGGGTCAAAATGGGTCAACCAAAATGCAGTTTAATATTTAATGGGTCATAATCAAGTGTCTGGAAGTGATTAGAGGCTTTGGAGAAGGCTCTAAGGTCAGGATCCACTATGTGGCAGGTCCAGTGGCATAGGCCGTAAATATTTGACGGTTTTACAGCCTTTGAATTTCAATTTAGTTTCTAGGGTTAGAGACCTCAGAATGGGCTCAAATTTGGAGGGTTGCCTCTAAAGACATGTCTTATCAGTATGCAACTGACAGACTCTGAATCGGAGGTCATTTGATTAGGTTTTGAAATGTTTGAAAATTCACTGTAAAAGGCCTTTAGGACAGGGCCTTAAGACTTAGGATTTGAGTTTGGATTTCTGGATTTGAATTAGATTTTGGATTTGATTGATTAAGTTTGAGTTATCCAAATCACTTATGATCATTTGGAGGATCATAAATGATAGGATAGGGTTGAAGCTTGATCAAAGGCAGGATCAAGGTTTGAACTGAAGTTTGAATATTTGAACTGGACTGAAGTCTGAATTTTGATTGAGGCTTGAATTGAATTGAGATCTGGATTGACTTGAGGTCAGGTTTGATTTGAAGTCTAGATTGATTTATGATCTAAATTGATCATAAGTCTGAATTGATCTGTGGTCTAGGTAGCTCCTAAGGCCTGAGAAGATCACAGGGTCTGGATTTAAAAAGGTCTTAGGGTTTAGAGTAGATCCTAAGATCTGAAGTCTAGAAGAGTCTTAAGATCTAGATTTGTTTGGAGAAATCCTAGGATCTAGAGTAGAACTTAAGCTCTAGAATCTAGAAGAGATTTAGGATCTAGATGGATCCTAAGGTCTGGAGTTTGAAAGAATTCTAGAACCTAGAAGAGATCTTAAAGTCTAGATTCTAGAATGATCCTAGGATCTAGAATAAGTCCTAAGGTCTGTATTCTAGAAGAATCCTAGGTTCTAGATTGATCTGAAAGAATCCTAGGGTCAAGATAGGTCCTAGGGTTTGGAATCTAGATTGATGTAGGGTCAGGATTGATCTGGAGTCTGGGTGGGTCCCTAGTGACCTCATACAAAAATGAGGTCAACACGTTCATCGCATGTTAATTTTCAGTGCTTCTAGGGGGCTATAGCATTC